TCATTGATCGTGATGATGTATCAAAAGCACATGGAACAGCAGGTAATGATAGATTACTATTGTCTTGAGTATTTGCCATTTTTGGTTGTGGAAACTACAAAATGATATATGATATAGTGATTATTAAAAAAAAAAAGAAATTGTTATTAAAAATATATGATCTATATCTCATACAGCCTGTTGAGTATATCGAAAAAATTCTCTAAGCTCTTTGGTAATCATCCCGAAATTAGTAAACTTTTTAATATATGGCCTTAGCCAAGCGGATAATTGTTGTTTAAAATGTTGATTTTCAAATCGACAATCGCAAAGTATTATAGCTCCGTAATCATTTTTATGACGTATAATTCTACCGATAGCCTGATTAACGGCTCGTGAAGCTTCAAGTTGATACCATTGCTGTCCTGTTAATGCCTAAATCAAATGATAAATTGTATTATATTCTTCAATGATAGTCAAAATAATCCCATTTATTACCTTTTTATCATTACGACGGATTTCTTCTAAATATCTTTGCTTCAATATAACTCTTGGATCTTTCATAGGTGGAAATGGAAGACCGGTGATTAATACAGCTCTACCATTGGCATTGGCAAAATCTAAACCTTCGCTTACTTTTCCTCTACATACAGCCATAAAAATGGCACCCTTACACGATGGATCCTGTATCTTTTGATAATATTCATGCATAACATTTAGAAAACCATCTTTAGATTTGGGCTCCACATATATGGACTGTTCATCAATGGAAATTAATATAAGAGAATATTAATTAATAATAATATGTCGTAAAAATTTATATGCGATAAAAAATTAAGATAGTTATTCTTTTTCATTACTTTACGTTCAGTGATTTGTGTCCATAAACCAGAAAATTGCCATTCGTCCTTACACTTTTGCATAATTGGATAAGATGGGAAAAATATTAATAAACCGTGTGGAATAAGACAACTAAAATTGTATATTGTACGTCCAAGAGATGCTATATACTTTGGATCATTTCTAGAGAAATATGATATTAAATTTTTCATTACTATATATATGTATATATCAAATAATGATACATTAGATGATTATATATTATTGTGTTATATGAATACCTAGTATTAAAAGAAGAGTTAAGTTGATGTCCATCAGGTCCTTGACTAAGAACACCAACACACACCTGTTGACCCGTTATGATATGTGGATTTTCAAGTTGAACACCTATTGGTATTCCAAGTTCTGATATAAATGGCGTTAAAGGAGATAACGTACCACTTGTCAAAATTACAGAACGAACACTTTGGTCTATTAATTGTTGCATGCTATATATAGAATGATTAAATAATATTCAATATAAAAGATCTAATTTATATAAATATAAGGGAGGATAAAATTTTCTACCTAAAACCAGGACTGAAGCACCAATAGCTAATAATTTTGCCTTCATTTTTAAGAGATACATTTTTAGTTTGCCATCCATTACTTTTATGACCTTTTTTTTGTTCCTCTAATTGAATATATACTTTATAACATTGTTTAATTCTTTCTCTATATTGCAAAGAGGTACCGCTGCTGAATAATATTCTTAATACATCTGCAAATTTTTGTAACGCGTTACCTTTTCTAGAAAACGGAGATGAACTGGTTGTAACTAAATAGGAGATAATCTTCTCTAATTTTTCTATCACTATCTGTTCTTTGCCATGAGTTAACTGAAAAAAAAAAATATCATTTTATTACATTACAAATGTATGAAATTTTTGTAAATTCAGATTATTTACCTCTGCTTTACCGAACAGTTCAAAAATATATCCTCCAGGGAATGTTTCGCCTTCATCTTGTTTTGTAATTTTAATATCGTCAATAGCTTTTTCCAATGCCAAAAACATTGTTTTTAAGATGCATAAATCTTCTGGAGTAAAATCTTTTTGTACATTTACAGAATCTTGCATCATAAAATCATTTTCAGTTTCATTATCCTTGCTAATATCTACCATTACCGCAGTTATGTCATCTATGCACATTGCTATATCCGTACTGCTTATCTGAATAAAAGAATATAATATTATAATGAGTCAAATATTGATTAATAACAAGAAGAACAATATTTCTCAATTATATCGCATATTACTTGTAACGATGCTGCTTCTTCACAAATTTTTTCTATATTGTGCGCTTCATCCAATAAGATAACATTATTTTGTATCTCTATTCCTTGAGTCTTACGAGTCTTTGAATCTAGCAAATAATTATAGGGCATAAATGTAATATCAGCATTTTGTTTTAATTCTTTGGCCAAAAAATATGGGCAACATTTCATCTTTTGTCCTGCTTTAACCAAATCTTCTATATCTAATATGTCTTGTTTAAAGACTGGTTCCTCTTTTCTACAATATTTTATTAATTATTAATTCTTACAAATAAGAATATGCAAATGAAAATTCAATCAATTCTATACATGCCTGGTTTCAACATTGTTATAATAAAAGCATGTTTTACTTTTAATTTTTGCATGACACATTTGTATCTTATTGAATGTATTTGTTTCCTTTGATACTTCCGGATGAATACAAAGCTGATCTCTAGATCCTAAGACTGACACTTTAACGTGTTTATACGTAGTACGTTTCAATTCTTGCATCGCTTGAGATAATTGCGAATGCGTTCTAGATGCATAAATAATTTTTGGCATTGCCCAACCGAAAGAAGCAGTATTGTCTGATACTCCTGCTGCTTTTTCAAGGCCATCATTTAATTTATTAAAGAAGTGTCCACTTAAGTCAGATCTTTCAACAGCTCCAACTATTGCTTCGGCTTGCAGATGAGCTTTCTTTGTAATCAACCAGCTTAACGAGGCACACAAAAGACTAAGTGTTTTTCCAGTACCTATATTTACAGTGGTATTTTAATTGTAATGAAAAATTTCAATAAATTTGTAACACATAATTTAATAAAATAGAAACATTAGAAATTTACCTGTTGGAGATTCTAAAACACCATGTTTACTATTTTGTAAACATTCTATAACTTTAGCCATGTACTCTTCTTGAACGGGATATGGTTTGAAAGGAAAATTAATAACAATTCCATTGATGGTTATATCAGGCATATTTTTACAATGTAAACAAATTCTACACGATAAAGTAAATGTTAAAGAATGAAACGAGAAACTACACTAGCAGTATTTAGCTTCCCGCCAAATGTCAAAACTAACCTCCATTAAATTAAATGCACATGACGTCACTATATTAAAGTATATATTGCATTGGATGATACGTTGCAAGAGATCATTTCATTGGCCAATTAAAAAATTTAAATAGTACTTTATGTTTGTGTTATGCATTTAAAGTTTAAATCCCGATAGAATGTAATAAATTATTATTATAATTTTACGTAAAACATATTACGCTTTACTTTCAATTAATACAATAAATAAGTTTTGTTATATTATTTTGTATAAACGGTTTGTAACAACAATGAAAATTATTGTTAGGTATTGCAGTACATATTAAATATTTTTTCTTTTTGATAATTTTATTAAGACAGTTCATCACCCATGGTTTTATGATAGTTCACGCCAATGAATACGACAACAATGAGTACGGGTGTAATTTTTCAACGACTTTGATGATTAAGATCTTATTTCGAAGATAAAGGTTTCAACGAGGACATGGCTTTCTCGAATTTTTAAGAAAGCTTCATTTTCATTGAAAAAAATCGAGTCAAGATGTGGCGTTTCTTCGAAAATAGTTTATGCATAAAAATAAAGAAATTTTAAAAATACAAGGAAGCCATATCCTCGATTATACCTTTAATTTTAAAATGAGATCTTGTTTACTAGAATTGATCAAAAATTATTCTTAGAGTTGCTGTTATTGTAAACGCTGTTTTTATGATAGAAGTATTCTATAGTGGCGCCATTTGAACTACGCGGCAAAACACAAGAAGCTCGTATTTAATACAATTATAAAAATAAAAAAGATAAAAAGCTTGTGGTGTGCGTTTTTTATTAACACAAAGTAGACGATTGCATCCTTATTTGATGCGTAAATGGATGGTTAGATTTTCTCGTCCATTTCAAATGCAACGAAACGTATTTTGCGATGCTCACATGGAGAAATCACGATAATACATTTTGAGATTTCAATGAGTTTTCGAAAGATGATTCTATGGAAAAAATAATGAAATACGTATTTAACAATTCATGCCAAGGGTGTATTTCAAATAAATATTGTTTGTGGAGTATATTAAACTAATATCTAAAACAATAGTTCGTTCGTTTAAACGTTAAAAAGATCGAAATGCGCGGCAAACTTAAAATAATTTTAATATAAAATTTCAATATTTACTTACGATAATTTTTGAATCATTTCTAATGTCTCTAATGTACACGGAGTACGATTAAATACTCTATAATATTTAAACAAGTTATTTAAGTTTATAGACTATTATAGCGCAGAAAGTGTTTCCCGCTTACGCTTATAGTTCATATATTTTATCCATAATTATTGTTAAAGTCATACACGTTTTTTACGAAAAATGATGAATTGCCTGGTCTTCAATTTTATAGTTTTTTTTTTTACGATATAAACTTTTCCAAATAGGGATATTTTTTCTCAATGTCTGATTTGCTTCGCCATCTAGAGGAAAGAAATTGAACTATTAAAAATACATGAGCATACATATATACTTGCTGATGGTGTATTACATTGATGGTGTATTTCATTCATATACAAACACATATTTATGCTGTAGTAGTAGTAGTTCATTAATCAGGTAGAGGATCGTTATTGGATATATTTTATATCCTAGTTTATTATAAAAAATTTTCATTTTGATAAAATTTCTAAATCTGCACATTAAATTATATATTGTTTTGTTTTTTCTTTTTCTTTTCTTTTTTTTCTTTTTCTGTTTTTTCAAATTCAATTTTACTTATAAACATTCTACTTTTAATCGTAACGAATAAAACAAAAGAAAAATTTGAGTAACCAATCGTTTCGCAGAAAAAAAAAAAAGATCCTTCAAATCCAAGATACTGTGCTAACCTAGTAAAATATCGACAGAGATTCTTTCTTTCAGAATATATTTAATATAAAATAAGTTTAATGGAATTGTGTTTTGATAATGTAATATGATTATGTGAAAATGATTATTTAATATTATTAGAGAGTGACACTCATGAGTAATTGTCGAAATGTATCATAGAAAATCGAAATCAGGTGAAAATTATTATACTGTCTCTACGTATGTACGTAACTGTGCAATTGCAAATTATATAATTTATATTTATGGCAATCTGTGAAAAGAAAATAATTTATTTTGCATGTACATTTTATAACATCTTCTTCGTTATATTGTTATATGATGTTTTTCATTTCGTATTTCGTTTTCTTTTTTTTATTTCATGCATATACGTGCAGTTTATCGATTATGTGCGGTCCCATTGTTGCCATCTTTAATTTTGCAAAGTAGTAAATTCTTGAGTACCACGTGATCTATCGTATACAAATGACCGTTGCAGTCAATTTAAGACGGTTCTGTTATAGTGTCATAATACAAATGTGAATAATTATCAGAATAAAAATGTTATAATCTTAATCAGTGTTGTATATATATATATATATATGTGTGTGTATATATATATATATGTATATATATATATATAGTCAATTATAAATATCAGTATTACACATGAAAGATAAGCGTCATTTAATGTAAACGAATTTCTTTCAATAATATAGGTTATGATTTCGTGGAGGTATCTTTAAATATGCTCAATTGAATGCATCACATTGATTCTTTATTCTTGTGTACCTTATATTTTCAACAACAGCAACATGACTTAGCGTAAGTTATGTATTTTCATCTCTTCATTTTCATCGATAAGATTTATTTTGTTTATTTGTAAGCCGTATTTATAACGTATGTAATTTAAATGTACTTCTTCGAAAAAAAAAAAAAAAAAAAAAAAAAAAAAGAAAAAAAAAAAAAAATTTAATTTATGGTCAAATCAATTGTAATTATACATACATATATATATATATATATAATAAGGTATATAATATATATATATAAATATATATGTATGTATATAAGGTAAATAACTTGAAACAAGTACTGTAAAGATTGTATATAAATTGATTAGTTAAAAATATGTTCTATTTTTATTGACTTAAAATTTTTATCACTTTCAGTTAATAATTAATAAGGAAAATTGTATAAGTGTAAATCTATAGATTTACAAAAAGTAGTTCTACTTAGAGGTATCTATATCCGTCAAAAATGAAAATATGAGTAATAATTGTAAAAAAGAAGACATAGGCCTTAAAAAAAAATATGTCTTCTTTAACGACCCAGATATTATTGTTAAGCGTGCAGAGAGTTTGGTTAATGTAAGTATATAATTATATTTATTTGTATGTTTTTTTTTTTCTTTTTGTTTTTATTTTTGGCTTTGTTAGATTCTGTATTATGGATTTGTTCTTATAATTACAGACACAACTTAGATCACATCTTGGATTAAAGAAACAGCAAGTAGATGATAGTAAGGTAGATTTGAAAGAAAAGACCAATGATATACCACAGCTTGATTTTAAAAATGTAGAAAATTTGTTGTCTTTTCATCCTGTACAACCATATCCGTTTACATTTATTAGTGCAGTAAAGCGAAAACTTTCTCTCGGCGATCATCCCGATACGCAGAAAAAATTATATGACTCTGGTAATAGAACAGAAGCTGAAGTATATTCGAGGGAATTAAAATTTAGCAGTAATCATAATTTATATCAAGCAATGCAAAATATGGCTTTTAGAGAGCCATTAAAAGTACCAGATTTAAAAATGTCCACGAAGACATTAGATTATTCTTCTAAAGACAATCCTAATTCAAAAGATGTTGCTGGAATAAAATTGGCTGTATCTTCTAATGATTTTGTGCCTGAAAGATCGGAAAAAACATCGAGAGAAAGAGTACAAAGGAAATTAGATTTTTCTGAGGGGCCATCTGTAGTTGCTTGTGAAAACATCGAACCTTTAAAAGCACCAAATGTTTCAATAGCATCTAGTTTCTCTAAAAAGAAAGAGCACGTTAGAGAAAGTTCTAGGGAAAAGGAAAATAGATCAAAAAGAATAAGAAAGGATGATTCTTTGTATACAAAAAGTGATGAAATATTGTATTCTTCATCGGATTTTAGTAAAAGATCTAAAAGTCCAAGACACGTTTCCAGAAAGGATATTACAGACAATACAAGTGGTTCTATATCGGTAGGGAGAATTAAAACTGATCGTTTGCCTTTATTTTTACCAAGGGAAAGTGATTTTGTATTGACAAAGCCAAAAACAAAAAATTTTGCAACTTCTACGGCTAGAAAGGATAATGATAAAAAACATAGGTGTTCCAATGTACAATCTGCAAAATTAAGAGACACTTCTTTAGAATGTAAAAATAAGACGGGTTGTAATGAATCGCATTCTCAAAAAAATATTATAAAAGATACGGCTAGAAGCATGGTATTTGATAGTATAGAATATAAATGCAAAGAAGATTTGCAACCATTGAAACAAACTGATGAGCACAAATATAAATCGGATAATAAACAAGTGAAACAACAAAATAAAGTGTTAAATCAGTCTTTTAACAAACAACAAGGAGGTATAGGATTTAAAGAGCATAATAAGAGAATATATGATAAAAGTAAGACATCTATAAATAGAATTGAAGGAAAACATTATGTTACATATTCAGATACTTCTGGTGATATTGAGATTGTATCTGACTCCAATACCAGTTTAAAAAAACGTAGCAGCACCTGTTCCGCAGTTTTTACCCAACAGTCACAGAGTAAAGATATTGATAAATCTCAAACAATGCAAAGTTTACATTCTAAAAAATCAGGGAAAGATAATGAGAATTCAAATTATATTGAAAATTCTTCTTTAGAATGTACAGACGTAAGCAGTAATAAAAATGAACCTTTTTCTCAAGATGTTAATTTATCTAATAAACTTCAAAGTAGTAATAATGATTTAACTGATTTGAATGAAAGCTCATTACCAGAAGCTTTGTTAGATCCAAGAAGGATATCTTTTAGAGATGAAAATTATACGCAAGAGGAATTTCGCGATTTAATTACACCCGATATGAATCTTATATTTCGATCGAAAAGAAAAAAACAAATGGCACAGAGTAATAATGATACCAATATTGATTGTGGAAAAACTTCGAAATATAAAACAACTACGAAACCAGAAACAATGCAACATGGAATACAGCTTGTGAGTATATATAAAATTCTATGTGACATTATAGATATCTTAATTTTGTAATATTTTATAATTTTACAAAATAAAATTTTTCAGCTTCATCCGACGGCTTTGCATATGCAGTTTCAAGCAGAGTTACATCTATTAGATTCAATGAATGAATCACTTAGGCAAGTTATGGATGTGGAGAAAAGTTTTTATAATGTAAAAAATGAACAAGAAAAGGAATTAATACAGAAACAAAATCAGGTCACTGATGAATTGATATTACACTTGGACGATATAGGAAAAAGTGGTACAATAGATAAGGAAAATACGGATAAAGGTAAATTTATATAAACATATAAATTCTACAATTGCAATTGAGTATTTGTTTGTTTTTTTTTTCTTTCTTCTTTTTTTTTTCTTTTTTTGTTTTCTCCCACAGTAGTATCACAAATTAATGACAATACAGGGATAGATAAAGTTGTTACTGACAAACGAATGACGAATAAAATTGATGAAGCTTCTTTCATTGATGAACAATCGTTCATGAAGAAAGAGGAAACAGATGAACAGAATAATAATTTAAGGAAAAGAACTAAATCGGTCATTGAAGTAGCAGAAGTTCAGACTCAAACAGTTAATGATATTGGAACTCAAACCGACATATATCCAGGACGACGTAATTTATCTAATAGATTTTTGGAAATTCATGAAAATGCACATGGACAGGAATTATCTTTAGAAGATTGTGAAATTCCATTACTTTCTTTAGGCTCTAGAGATCAATTTGAAGATTTGGATCAGCTAGAAGATCTTTCATTGCCTAGTAAAGTAAGAACAATGTCGGAGATCAGTTTACATGAAACTACATCTTCTATAAAAACAGAAACTGGTACAGAAATTAGTATTTCTACGAGAGATGTAACTTGTTCTTTTAACAAATATTTAGATTTAGAGGTAAGATCATGTTCTTTTATATATATATATATATATATTTATAACATTTAAAAAATATATTGTACTTTACTTTTATTAGATAGCTCAATTGATAAAAGATGAAAAACAAAGATATGACAAGATAGAAATGTTGTTCAAGTCGCGTGAAAAAACATTACACGATAGGACAAAGAAATTAGTAAAATTGGAAGAACAAAAAAGAGCATTGAGAGATACTGGCCAAGATAGTCGTATTAGTTCGGTTAAGAAGAAGCAAAGGGCCTTATTATTAAAATTACAACAGGAGAAAGATGAAATGAATAGGTATATAACTAACTATTAATTACGAGATATTCTTTATTATTTATTATTAATTTGATTAACATTATCTGATGGCTTTATTTAAAACAGATTGAAAGAACTTCATAAAATTGCGAGCCAAGAGCGTAAATTAATGTTACAAAAGCAAAGGAACATGTTTAATCCTCAAATGTCTACGAAAAATATTTTAACGAAATTAAAAAGAAGTGCTGATAGTCAATCTCCACGTAGATTATCTGGCCCAATGAAAGGCTACGATATCCGGAGTAACAGTTCAATGAGTTCTTTAGTAGACTCTGATAAATCTCAACATGATAAATCACAAATAGATTCGAAAATACAATTGACGGAAAATGATTTGCAATTTCAGAAAGTGGGTTTATCAAGTGCTGAAAAAATTGCAAACTTAGTCGACGAATCTAATATTTCATTATTAAAATATGATAAATTAAACGACACCATGGAAGATTTAAAATCACAAAACAAATATATTCTTAATTCTCAGAAGGGTAGTAATAATAAATTAAAGTACGAGTTGAGGTCTCGTAAGTTTGAAGAAAAAATGCCTAAAGCAGATATTATAAAATTAAGATCCCATCAGCTTGATGTTGAATCGAAATTAATGCAAGGACATTGTGTGAATGTAGCTGGGCATGTACATGAGAAACAAAAGACTATTAGTTTACAATCATTACAAGATTTAGATAATACAATTACAGAATATATTAAGTCAGAATCTGATACTTTAGTAGACGAATTATCAAAAAAATCTAAGTCATCGCAAGTTGACTTTCGAAGTGTGATATCGTCAAAAGATAAAGAACCATTTTCCAGGGATACAGCGGTAAATACTGAAACGATACAAGAACAAATAACTTCCATTGATCAAGATGCTTTGTCAAAGACATCAAAGTCTTCTCAAGTTTCCGAAGATACCTTTCAAACTCATTCAAGAAATTCAACTAAAACGGATAAATCAATTTCTAGTGATAAAGAAATTACAAAAAAATTTCAACAAAATTCTGAATTTAAAGCAAGCACTAAACGGAAAAATTCTAAATGTCAAAGAACAAGATCATCATCTACCATATTAACGGAAAATATATTAAGATCAAAGTCAAGTTCTCAAATAGAAGAATTTACAAAACACCATAACAAACGTACAAAAATAGAAAATGAATTCATTCAATCGGATAGAAATGACGAAGGTTCTATTTTAGATGAGCTTGATCTTAGCACTGATCAGACTATTAATCAGAATGCTATTGAAGTTTTAATCAGGCAATCAAATGCTATGAAAGACAAAAATTCCAAATTATTTGCAGATATAATAGATGAAAGCAAAGAAAATATTTCGGTACAAAATGTTTTTGAAAGAAGCCTTGAAAATTATAATGAAAACAATTATCCTTCCAAGGATAAAGGAAAGAGTACACAAAATTGTGGTGATATATCTGCTAGATCTCAGCTTGGTACATTTGCTATTTCAAATCATAATTCTTTAGATAATGAGAAAGAGTATACTAGATCAATAGTTATCAGATCACAGAATCATGATTATAAAACTTCAAAAAAGCTCGAACAGTAAGTAATATTTTGTTGTGTATATTTAGTAAAGTAATTTTTTCATTTAACATGATTCTCTCTTCTCTCTCTCCTTTTCTCTTCTCTGATATTTCACCATTAATAATCAAATAAATAATTTACTGAATCTCTGCAGTCATATATAAGATTTCTAATAATACACCCAAAATGTGTATTCACCATGAAGTCAACCATTGTAAAAATAGATTCTCTTCAGTGGCTAACTGCATGCTGGTGTTATTGCAGAATTTATACTTGGTGCAGAAATTTTGAATATAATCTGTTCTTTTTATTATTATATTAAAACTATTCAGTCATATTATAATCATTTAATTTGTAATTTCCATATTGTCTGATATATCTCACACAATATATATGTATATGTACATATATATATATATATATATATATATATATATATATATATCTGATGTTATGTGAACATAAATGATATTTTAAATAATAATACATTATGCAGAATTTTAAATGCACGAGAAGCAGCACTTGTATCGCGTAGAAATTGTGTGGAAGAGTGGATGGCATGGGATGCACGATTAAGAGCAGAAGAAGAACGTGTTGCACGGATGGAACAAGCTGCATATAAACTTGTCACTGCAACTTCTGCTTTATCTCATCAAGGTAAAGAATTTTTATTTCCAAATATTAATCTATTCCTTAATAATTAGTAAATTATTATAAAATTTTAATTATAGAGAGTGTATGTGTATGTTTATATATATTTTTTTTTTTTTTCTTTTTTTATAGATTCTACACTCTCATCTGATACAAGTGATGTGGAAGGAAGAATAGAATTATTAACAGAAAAATTAGCGGAGCGTAGAATAGAAATGTCACGTTTAAAAAAAGAAGCTAGGAAACAAACGAAACAAAAGCTAAAAGCATTAGAGGCAAATTTGTTAAATCAAATTAAGGTCTGTATTTTATATAATTTTTTAAACAATTTTATAAATCTTTGTACAATACTAATATGTTAGGGTTTTTTTCTTTTCTTTTTTTTCTTTTTTTTTTTTAACAGAAATATGATACGACTATTCATGAAATGCGAAAGAAATTGGAGTCTAGAAAGGAAGCTGTGAAGGATAGTGACAAATTGGCTATAGAGTCTAAATCATTGGCAGAATTTAAAGTACCTGATATTCCGCTTAAGAGAATACAAGAAATTTATAAAAATAGTGATCTGTTACGTTCGAGATCAGAATCTGATTTATTATCAACAAAAATTCAACAAAAAGGCATTGTTAAAAATATTCAAGCTTTGATATATGAAAGTAAATGTGAAGGAACAAAATTTTCAAAGTCATCGCAAATAATTAAAAGGGACAATGTGCTGGAATCATCAAATGCTAAAAAACAAGATATTCATTATAACGTTCAGTCCATATTTGCAGATTTGAAAGATAGAGAATATGAAAAACTCAGGTCTATTTCAATGTCATCAACTTCTGATGATGATCAAGGCGATAAAGCTACACATTATAATACCACATTTCATTCTAGTGGAACTCAAACTAATCACACACTTGTTTCCGTACCAGAACAATTTACAGTTGCAATATCATCTGACAATAATTCAAAAGATATTCCAAGTGAAGTTAGCGTAGTAAATACTGATACAGATATTCTTACAGCATCTGAATTAAAACCATCCAAGAGTAATAGGAGCGATCAACTTGCAATAACAGAACCAAAATCAGATTTAATTGATGTTGAACAAGTGCCTTTAAAAAGTCTTATGTCACAGTCCAACACAATAGAAACATCAAAAACGGAGAATTTAAAGCTTATTTCAAATAAATCAGAATCATATATTCAAAACTCCAATAAGGAACTTTCGTCTACTAATAACGATAGTGGAACGCTTACTTATTCTAAAAAATTACACTTTTTACAACTAAATAATAAAAATCTAAATGAAGATATTAATTGCCTTGAAAATGAGCTTAAAGCTCTATCAGAAATGATGTCACGAATTAGTAGTTTATCCACCGAAAAGCATGATAATGAAGAAAAAAGTACCTTAAAAGATATATCAGAAGTGTTTTCAAAATCTGAGCTGATTGACAATAACACATCAATTTCTAATAAAGATATAAATAAAACTATTCAGTCGGATATTACAGAAACAGAAATTCCCATTAAAACTGATATTAATTCTGATATCTCAAGTTATTCAGCAAGCATTATGAAATTGAAATCGGGCAGTGAGTCTACAGATTTAGTGAAAAATGTAAGTCACGTTATGTCTGAATTAATTCCAGAAGGGGAAACATTATTTTCAGAATCAAATCAAGAAATAGATTATAAAGCGGAAAGTAAGAAGATATTAAATGAAATCGAAAAATCAATTATATCCGAACATGCAAAGATACTTGAAGGTGATACTAATTCTTCAAGTATACCATTGGAGACAAGTACGCAAAAGATACAAAAATTAAACAAAGATTTTCCATATTATTTATCTACTTCAGTTACCGAGAAAAAATCAGAATCACCGATACCCATAGAGGAAAATAAAAATCTTAAACGCCCAAAGAATACATCTGAATCGTCTTTGAATAAAAAAATAACTGATGAACAGCATGTAGCAGACGAATCTCAACTTTTAATAGAGGAATCATATGGGGAAAAATTGTCTGAAAATGTAGAAACAATTCCGACGAATATATCGGAACAATGTTCGATATATGAGGACGATAGTTCGAAAAAAGACAATGACGTAATGATTAACAAAAGTATATTACATTTTGAAGATATTTCACAATTTAAAAATACTGACGATACTTTGCAAATTGAAAATATATCTTCTTCTGAAAATAATGAAATACATTTGTCTTCAAGAGACTTTTCTAATGGAGAAGAAATAAATACGGGTCAATATTATAATTCTAATAATAAAGATGAAGATAATATAATTTCACAAAATGCAAATACATTGTCTATAAATTTAAGTAAACGTGACTTCAATGTAGAAGAAAATGAATCAGAAGTTATTTCCACTGAAAAAATGTCTGTAGATAAAGACGACTGGACTATATCTGATTCATTTAATATTTGCAATGACGAAATAGAAAATGAATGGGAAAAAGCAGAGAATCGTGAAGTAGAATCACAGATTCACGTTAGTTCAGAAAATAAAAATATATCGCAAGTAGAAAACGTTGCTGTCATTCAAGATTTTACAGAAAATTTATCAGTTACTATAGAAGATGAGTCTATGCTTTTACCGAGGGCAGAATCTACAAATATTGATCCTCTTAATTTAAAGATTAATGAAACGGACAATGAAAAAACTACTGATGAGCTTGATGACATATTAGATATAATAGCCAGAGAAAATGATAAAGAGTATGATAATGAAGGTAGGCAATATATAGGAACAGGTAATAAAACCGATGAAAATTTGGACAATATAAAATCTATTAAAGCATCTATCTTGGAGAAAGAAAATGAAAATAATGAATCAAATGAAATTAATATTCAAACAAAGATAATCTTAGATACAGATAATATGGATCTTACAATAGACAGTCCATTTCCGTCTATTACATGCGATTCTACGCTCGATGATAAATTACAAATTCACAAATTCTCAACAAATGATAATAATAAAAATAATATTACTCCATTATATATGGAATACAATAAAAATCATATTAACGGAGTTAATGACGCATTAGATCCATCCAATAAATTAGATGATGTGTCCGTGGTAAATATAAAATTAAACGTAGAAATAGAAGAAAAAGATATTGTCCAAAAAGAAATAGTTCAATCTCAAGAAATAATAATCAACAAGCTGGATTCAGAATCTAAAGAAGATATATTACCGCAATTAGAAATTAGCACTAAGATCGAATTATCCCATGAAGAACTAATTGATAAAAGTATTACGCACAGTGATAATAAGGAATCTCATGTAATTTATCTTCCTGTTACGGAAGAAGAAAGTACACATCCAATAGGAATGAAGGAAGAAGGATATTTGGAATCATTACCAGAACCAGATAGTTCTGATGGTGAACAACTTGATAATTTAATTGAAGTAGCGGAAAGTGGATTAGATGTAATAGAAAAGCATCCTGAATCATTAGAAATACATTCTAACAAGAGTGATAATTTATCAGAAAATAAAGAGGACGATATTGAAATAAATGATATACATGAAAATAAAGATCTTTCGATTGATTGTCAATCTACAGAGAAACATAATACAGCTACAACGAATGCTACCGATATTATAATTAAAGTACCATTTGAAATATTAAGAGATCCCGAATATGAAGATATCTCTGAGGAAAGTCTTGAAGTATCGGAAATTCTTGATAAAACGGAAAGTCAAAAAACGCAAGGTTCACAAAAAGGAACGATCGTGTCAGAAAATTATCAAGCGGTACATAAAACTGAAGTATTAAGGATATTGGATGAAATTACACAAAAATCATTGCCGGAGTTGGTGAAAACTTCACAAGAAGACAAAAAAGATGTGCAAACAGTTGAAACAATATCCGCTAAAGCGTTAATTCATACATCCGCGTTAGTTAATGAAAATCAAGTAATACAAATAGATCAATCAATTGATCAAAATATTGAGATTATAAAGGATACGGTATCAGATAATTCCAAATTGACAGAAATTGAAACTGAAGAAGTTTCTACAGAACTGAATGATCTATTATCACAGTCAGATGGAAAACACGTTAAAACAATAACTGACGTAGAACAGAGCGCTATACAAAAACATGAAGATGTATCGTCTGATTCTAGCGAGGGTGGTGATACACCTGCAGGTGTATCAGAGATCGAAATAGATTCTCCAAGAGATTTAAGTAACTCCAGATTGAATATCGATGCCTTGGACGATGATCTACTTAGTAATACGAATATGGGGAAACAGGATGAATCAAAAACGGATTTTCATGCAACAGCTATCGTTACGACGTCGGAAAAAGATATCGAAGCTATGATCGATAAAATAAAAGGTATTTTTTTTTTATTTTTTTTTTTTATTTTTTTTATTTTTTTTTTTTCTTTATAATTTATTATTGCTGTCTATGCTAAGATTTTTACAACATGAATGAAGTATAGATAGTTTCATTCATATCATCTCTATTACATATTTATAATTTAAAGATATTAATTTATATATACATATATATATATATATATATATATAAATATATATGTGTATATAAAATATATATATATATATATATATATATATATATATAAAATAGTCATAAATGTGTTTGATTTTCTAAATATTATTCTGATTCTGTATCTTCATTCATCAATTCTTTTATGTAAATTCGTTTACATAATTCCATGTATTGAACTTCATTTATACTTTTTATAATTATTATCGTTTGATCAATATTTCGTCTATATGTTAAATAAGTAAATGTGAAATGAATTGGTATTATGAATTCAAAAGATAAATTTATAGTAAAAATTATGTCATGCAGAAGTGAATTTCAGGAGAAAAGAAAAAAAAAATATGCACTTTTATCTTATCTATTTAAATTTTCATAATGGCTGAACGCTCCTTTGCAAAGCATTGCCTGGTATAGCTATGTGTTATTTATTTTCAGAATAGCAAAGTCGAGATAATATTTACCTAAAGGTAATATATCATGAAATTTCGAATGAAACGAACATTAACTTGTTCATTTTGTACTAATCAGTGTTGCATGAATGCTTGAATCTTATTAATTTATTGATGCACAGGAAGATTTGTAAATGTTGTATATCACGACACATTACAACAACGTTTATATAATTCTTCTATATATATATATATATTTGTATATATATATTTCCAGAAAGAAAGCATCGTCTCTATAGTCATACTGGAATGTTTGATTTCCTTAGATTTTAGCATTGGTTTCATATGTGCCTTGAAAAGACATTCCGATTTTCTACTACTTTTTTCCTCTATTTTTTGAAGCACTAAAATTTGTAAAATATTATCCCTAATGTATTGTAACAAATCTTGTTGCTTTTCCTAGACGTAACATTTATTATATTTACATTTAATATATATTATTTTAATTTAAATGCTACAGCTTCGTTGAAGCAGCCTGGCTTAGAAGTTGCCGATTTGGAAGCTAAGCTACTTCGAATACAACAACTTCAAATTGAATTAGAGGTAAAATATATTATTTAAAATACATTGCATATTATAAAATTATATTATTCACGTGGATTTTCTTTTTTTCTTTCTTTAATAGATCAAAAAATTGGAAGCTGAAGAGGTATACTACGTTAGAGAAATACCAAATAAACCTCCACCGCCGTATACACCTCCAGGAGATAATCGAATTTCCATAGCTATTGCCTCACCTTCTCCGCCTCCTGCAGTAATACCTTCGAATATAGAAGAATTGACAGCTTTTACAGAAAAGGCTACGGCTTTAATATACAAAGCTAAACAATCTGGTCAAGATATTATGAATTTAGAAGCACCACCGGAAATTTGTGAATTAACGAAAGAAAGTAACGAGATCGCGAAAAAAGATAGAAAGATTTATAATACATTCCTTTTTGATTTATGTAAAGAAACTATTTCGGAAGTTTATCAAGCGGAATACGAGAAACCTGGTCCAAGTTGGACAAAACCAAATGTAAAGACAAAGCCAGCTATAAAAATTCCAAAGACCGTAGAAGAGCTTCATGAATATGTTAGTAAGGAAGTAGCGACATTATTTGGATTCAAAACAAAATTACAAAGGGAGAATATGGTAATGCGTTGGAGTAGAAAACGTAGAGATAGAGTCGATGAATTATTAGCGAGAGAGGCCCAGGCCGAAGAAGACGAATGGACTAAGTTTCATCACGATGAATTGGCAGTGAAAAATGGACTCACGGTGGCCATATTAGAAACATTGATTATGGAGACTACAAGTGTGGTTAAAGTGGCACATGCAAAAAAAAGAAAGGTGATGATATAGCTACTATAGCTTTAGTTGATCAAATTATTACTCGAATTCATTTTTAAAAAAATGCGAACATATGCCGTATATGTTCTCGTGCAGTTCTTTTTTTTTTTTTTTTTTTTTTTTTTTTTATTTTATACTGCGTTGAATATTTAGCATTATTGATTATCACTCAATCGTTTACGATTAGGACAGATTTTCTTTTTTTGTTGTTGATTAGTGACCACATAATGCACAGGCTGGTTCCTATTTATTTGTAGACAGTTTACTTTTTTTTTTTGTTTTTTTTTGTTCTTTTTTTTTTTTTGATAGAGAAAGGGCACATACAAATAAATAACAGAATTTACAGTGAGACTGAAATGATGCGTGCGTGTGAAGAATGGTGGTAACGTAAGGAAAAAGCAGGCATTGACAACAAAGGTGCTCAAAAAGTCTCTTGAGAATCAAATGCCCTAAGTCTATTTTAATTCATTTCACACAATTAGAATAATAAGTAAGGTATATCATATAAAAATATTATTATATAATCAATGCATAGATTGCGGTCCGTTGTTGTGTAGATGGGTATATACCGTAGTATATTTGATTTTCGTACTTGTTTTCGTTAAAATAATAATAGTTATTAACTTTGTAACAACGTAGAATATTATGTACGACTGAACCTCGACGAAAAAATGTCAAACAATGTAAATAATTCATATCTCAATGGAAAGACAATGTAGTTTTCCTTAGAAAAGTTAGAATATATTTCAGTTTTCTATTTGCTTATTGTCGGAAGAAAAAGTTACGCAGATCATATGACGGAGATTTCATAATAGATATTATTATTTAATTATTAATATTTATGTGTATTTCAAATTACTGAGACCATGGGCTGCTCGCTATATGTAGCATCGATTATACAATAGAAGCTTTTAACTGGACACAAACATAGAGCAAATATTTATACGATGTTCCATGTTGAGCTTCTAATTAATGGAACTAACAAAATTCAAATTAAAAGACTGATATTTTGGGGCCAGTTTATCAAAATTTGTGAATTTGCGAAATTTATATGTAGATGATGAAGGTACGTTGGATATCGAGTACTAATTGGTGCTTTAGAGGTTTTCCGTGTTAAATGTTGACAACGATAAGTAGCCTTTCGAGTAAATCCCTTTAACTTAGGCCCCTTTCCAAGAGAAAAAAAAAGGATGAAAGTAAGAAGGATAGAAAACGACATAAATGTTACGTTTGTTTTTACTGATCACTTTAATTTGCTAATTGTTACTTTATCTGTAAATTGTATATGTTTTAAGTTTATATGTATATATATATATATATATATATACACACACACATATACGTACATATATATGTATATATATATATATATATATACACACACGTTAAGTCGAGTAGACGCAAATGCGATGACTTAATTTTTACGTTTGTGGTTGTGATTTAAACTTAAAGTAGAGCGCAATGTATGAAAGATCTTTAGTAAGCACTCGAAAGTTTACATCAGTTTGATTTCTTTTTTTATTATTTTACAATTTTTATATTATTTGTGTTATATAAGAATGAGATGAAATGACGATGTTTTGTTAATGTTCAAACTTAAATTAAGATTTTTAACAATAATTTACTATCAAAGTTCTTGTCCTTTCATTTATTTTCAAGAACGATCTTTTTTTTTTCTTTTTTCTTTTCTTTTCTTTTCTTTTCTTTTTTCTTTTTTTTTTTTTTTTTCTTTTCAATATCTATAAGTTGTTATAACAAGATTTTTCGTTCATTAACGAATATCACCGTGAATTTGATTGTGTACGTAGTTGTTACGATTAGAAGTTGTTCACGTACGTAGAGTTGGATATGTACTTAACCAATCCATAATATATTTTATAATAAATTTTGTCCAAATAATTTGTGCAAGGTATACAGTGTTAATTTCTCTATTTACTCGACCTATAAAAATGAAACTTAGGAGAGGGTAATATAAACGATCGAACGCCATTTTTCATTTTAAGTTTTTCCAACCCCATATTTATTTTGGCAATGCCTTTTATATGAAAAAGTACAACACCATTTGTTCTCGAGAAGGTTGATACAATGATACACATTTTGGGCAAGTGGTGGACAGTAAAGTGGACAGAGGAAGAAGAAGGGTAAGGCGAGGAGTGTGCAAAAAGATTGTGTGATAATATAATATATTATTTAAATATATATGATAATGGTAAACTTAATGGTAGAGATATGGATCTGTTTTTTTTTTTTGTTTCTTTTTTTTCTTTTTTTTTACTTACGCATTTTCTCTCGTAAACTCATAACAAATAAGATATATGTGACGCGTTATACAGTAGTAATAAAAAAAGAAGCGCACGTGTATCTATTCTCTGTGTGTGTGTGTGTGTGTGTGTGTGTGTGTGTGGTTAGTGTGTATATGTATGTATGTTTTGTCTTATGTAAGTTATGTAAGTAATGTGATCATCGTATGCTTGTAAATGGATCATACGAGGTTGTTTTAATGTTTTATGTTCTTTTTTTGTCTCTTTTTTTTCCCCCTTTTCTTTTCTTTCTGTGGAGCATTCGGCGTGTTTGTTCTTTTTTCTTCTTTTTTCTTTTCTCTCTTTTCTTTTTTTCTTCTTTTTCTTTGTTACATTTAATTTTAAGAAAAAAATTGAATCACTTGTTTTTTTTATCTTTCTTTCTTTCTTTCTTTCTTTCTGTCTTTCTTCCTTCCTTTCTTTCTTTCTTTCTCTATATAACAATATATCCTAATTGTTAAGTGGGTGGAGGAGTGGGGGTGGCTAGGGGCAAAAGTGTTGCGCCTTTTTCTCTATTATTTTTAATTTTCTCGTTTTTCACATACATCGGATTCTTTACTATCCCGCGTAAGAGAGGAGATTCGTGCATTAAAATTTTTTGCGCTTGAAATAGATTAGAGATACTTTTTTTTTCTTTCTTTTTATATAGAAAAATATAACCAAAGGATTTTTAAGTACGTAAGTCGAAGAATAAATAGTAGTCCATCGAGCGAGATAGAAAAAATTCGATATTTCTATAGACTTTAAAATTGGAGCGGTTGTATTTAGGAATAATATTTGCAACGTCATCGCGCTATTACTCTCGACATTGTTGCAATTCACTTTTGTGACAGCAATGACTGACATTTGTCTTTCTTCCTTTTTCTCTTTTTCTTCTGTTTCTTTCTTTCTTTCTTTCTTTCTTTCTTTCTTTCTTTTTCTTTTTTTCTTTTTCATTTCTTTTTTTCTTTTTTTTTTTTTTTTTTTTTATAGCAGCGATTGATTTGGATCTTACTTTTTGTTATATGTTTTTTTCTCGTTTTTTGGTAGAGAACGCATTTTATAAATTGCTTATCCGAAGTCTATTCAGAGCACGTGATACGCTTTGATATACACATTATTATTATTATTATTATTTTTTTGTTGTTTTTGTTTTCTTTTCTTTTTTTTTCCTTTTTTTTTGTCTTTTTTTTTTTTTTAGTTTTTCAATGGAACGCAGATGTGTGTCGAACATTCGAAAATACGATTATCAATTTTTGTCGTTTAAAAACGCAGACAAGCGACGCACACATCAACAATCTCACATTTATTAGCATGCATAACGAGTAGGTGATCGTGAGAGAGTCGTTGACGCTAAACATAAAAGAGATCACGTTGAAAAATACGAAAAAATTATAATATTCTCGCGCCTTTATGATGGACAAATAAAGCGGCCAATCACGTTTCGTCTTGTACGTTCTTACGGTATTTTTAATGGTGCTACGTTTTCGAACGGATCGAACGAAGCTTACTTTCTTTTTTCTTTTTTTCTTTTTTTTTTTTTTATTAGTTGTTCGTTTCAAAGAGAGAAGAAAAAGTGTGATTTATCTTTTCTTGTTCGATCGAATGCGCTTCGTTTTTCTCATCTTATGTATTATGTATATATGTATGCATGTATGCATGTATGTATGTATGTATGTAAGTATGTATGTATGTATGTATGTATGCTTTTATACATACAAGTAAATTAACAATGATATGTAACAACTTCGGCGTTGGTGTTTCCTTTTAAAAAAATAACGAGCGCGAGGACGTGTCGGCGTTGGCGCGTCTCGATTAAAAAATATAAAATTTCTAGTAATCTGCACGTTTAGTTTAGATATTTTGAAATAGGATATACATACATCATATAGTTTATCGTAGACCACTGCATTTTTTTTCTCTCTTTTTATTTATTATTTTATTATATTTCGGTTAAAAACTGAAAGCAGCGACGGTATGAAACAGCGTATATATATATATATATATATATACACGTGTAATGTGTTCTCTTCATCTTTATTATTATTTTTATTTTCTGTTTACTTTTTTTTTTTTTTCGTTCTCTTTCCCTCTTTTAATTCTCTTTTTTCTTCGTCGCTTCTCTCGTATTGCCATGCTCGTATCCTCTCGGAGGCAAAAAATTTATGATTTAATTCATTACACGTATGCTTTTATTTTCTTTTTTACGTTTTTTATTATTTTTTTTTTTTTCTTTTTTTTTCTTTTCTTTTTTTTTTTTTTTTTTTTTTTCGTTCGGATTTTAGATCCCACGAAAGATCGAACATCGATAGATCCTTAAAAGGAGAGAGATAGTTTAATAAAACGCGACTACGAGTAAAAACGATGGAAAGATATACTTTCGTTGCCTCTTCGAATCATTCGTCACAATGTCGTCAATTAATTTCAAATAAACTTTCTTATTTTAAATCGTTACTTTAGTAATTAATTAATTTATTTATTATAATAAATAGTTGGCACCAAGTATCGTTTCCTTTCTCGAAATTAATCGAGCTCTCTTCGATCTTTTTTGAAACGTTTTTACGTTATTTCACAGATGAAATTATCGAACACGACACGGACGAATAGACGAAAAGGTAGAAAGAGAAGGATAAACGTCAACGATCGAGAAATCTAGCATTCCCTATCTACGAGCTTTTTTTTTCTTTTTTTTTTTTTGTTTTGTTTTTTTTTTTTTTTTTATTATTATTATTCTATTAGGTACGCCCACATAATTTCCCTCTCAAGATAATTATCATTTCTACCGTTCTACCATTGCTGCCTATTTTAATATATCATATTTATGTTTGTATGTTTGTATGTACATACATATGCACGTATGTATGTATTCATCTATGCATGTATGCATGTATATATGTATGTATGTATGTATGTATGTATGTATGTAAGTATGTATGTATGTACGTAGGATATTACACCAGTTAAATTCGAAATTACATTTACTCTTCCGTACTCCGCTCCGATTGTCTCGGCTCGATTTTTTCTTTCTTTTTTTTTTATCTTTCCTCTTTTTTTTTCCTCTCTTCATTTCTTTTCTTTTCTTTTCTTTTCTTTTCTTTTCTTTTCTTTTATTTTATTTTACCTATCTAATCGATGAACGAGTTCGAGGAGACCATTCTCAAAGCAAGATCATGCCTACGAATTCAAATTCGCCGATGTTTTATAATAATAAAACACATTTCAGGAGATCCCAAAGACATCTCGTGTACTTATCTCTTTTCTCAAGAATACATTTGCTCGATAATAGTCACGTAATAATAGTGCATATTTTGAGATATTTAAGATTCTAGGAAGATTGAGGAAGGTTGATTAAAAAATGATCAAATTGCATGCCACTCTAAGAAGTCGTTCGTGACTTTAGGAACTCCTGAATACGATTTTTGTCCTACCAGGGACACAAATATTTTGAATCTTCTTTCTTTTTATTAGTTTCTTTGTGTTTTCTCTTCTTTTCTTCTCTTTTTTTTTCTTCTTCTTCTTCTTTTTTTTTTTCTCTTTAACACGATTATCGTCTTAAGCTGCATAACTGATATACTCGTAGTATGTATATATGTATGTATATATGTATGTATGTATGTATGTATGTATGTATGTATGTATGTATGTATGTACGTATGTACTTTCTTTTTTCTTTACCATAGGAAATGACTTTTAATATAATATTTGTTCTTTTTTTGTGTGTCGATTGTTATAGATTATCATTTTTTCCGTCAGCTCCCTCTCCGCGTAACATGTCCGATGAATTATTTACACGGATTATTTTCAAATTCTATACTATGTTTTTTTCCCACGATGATAACACGATTAGCGATAAATAAAATTGAGCTTTGGTTTTTTTTTATTTTTTTTTTTTTTTTCTACACCGTCCATTCTCGAGGCATCTCTCATTATCGTCAATTCTTTCCGTTTCTTTTCCTTTTTTTTTTTTTTTTTTTTTTTACTTTTACGTCTTCTTCTTCTTCTTTTTTTTTCTTTTTACACTTTCAGTTACTGCTTATATAAACTTTATGTGATAGGAGTATGCTGATAACGATCAGTCCTACGCGGGGTTGCATTTTCGTTGGTCGATTTTGTGCAAGGATATTATATAAGTATATGTAAAATAAATTTATATTTACTTTATCTCATCATTGTTCATTGTGTCTCTAATAAAGGATAATTTATCGATTGAAATGAAGATAAGATACTTTGAAAAAAAGAAGAAAGGATCAAAAGAAGAAAGAGAAAAAGTAAGTAAGAAAGAAAGAAAGAAAGAAAAAAGAAAAAGGAACATAAGAACATGCGGCAATTTGAACTAATAATCGTTCATAAATTTTAAATATAATGATCTAACAGCAATGAGATGGTTTCTCAATTAAACGAACTCTTATTTCGTTACGTCCTACGAAAATGGACGTGGAGCAACAATCAGGGGTCGAACAATTTCTTTTTTTTTCTTTTTTTTTTTCTTTTTTACGGATTTCATGCACGCCGATGTACTCAGGTAATTTATCGTATAATTAAGTACAGTGAGGAGCGTACGTGTATGTGAGAAAGTGTGTGTTATGTGTGTGTATATATATATATATATATATATATATA